TTACCGTAACTGCATAACATATAACATATATAACATATTTAAGAATGCTTAAGTACTCAAATCAAAAGCGTGACAAGTTTCTATTTAAAGAAATATACGAATACGTTAGAAGACGATTGACAATGTTATTTAAATTATCCCAGTTGATGACCGAGAAGTTAATGTAAGCGCTAGGAGTGGAAGTACTGAGTCTACAACCAATTAAAGGTGATAAACTTTAATTTCTCCCTTAAAAGAAAGGAAAACTTTAAGCATTGGAAATAACTTTAACGATTGAGAGGTTACATAGAAGATCAAATAATTGTTAACAATAATTGTTGACTTTGGTAAAAAGAAATATTTGTTTGTTCAGATCGACTGGATATATGTAACGATTTGTATAATGGCATGCTTTTTGTGAAGTTGAAAACTGACCCCAAAAGTCTCACTAGAGTGAGAAAGAGAAAAAACTAACATAGTTCAAAAGTACAAAATTATCTTTAAGAAGTATTGCAATAGTTTTAAGACCGTACCATTTATTGTATTCTACAGCCAAACTGTCCGAATTGGTTGTCGCTGAGCTGGTAACTAATCCGAGGTCCGTTCCATCTTTCGAGTGATCAGATGCGATGACGAGTATTCGAGAAATTTTCGTAGTAAGGCGATTACTAAGATTAGTGAGAACTAAGACGGTTTAAGGTTTAAATTTATCCCTGCTGCAGAAACTCCTTCGAAGACTCGAGCGATTTTTTGGTGCCCAAAAATCTTAGCCCTCCGGACCTTATTCTTTAGCAACTGAAGCTGAAAAATCCAGATGGAAGACTGGTGGGTTCTCAAGACCGGGGAACCGCAAAAAACAGCCAATCATGTTTCCTTCTTATCAATGAAGAATGCTTACCAGTCATTGAGGCTAACAATTGCTAGTATCTGAAACCCGGAAGGCCAAAATTAAAACATTAATAATGCGCCACCGGATAACATTTGGATGAGGTTGAGAGAACTAGCAAGCTGCTAGATGACCTCATCATCGATAACAAACTTTTTTGATAGAGTCATGACCAAAGTCGTGCAGATAAACCTAAAACACTCCAAATGTGCTATGGATAATCTGGTTGTCTTACTCATGGAGGAGGATATCGACCTTGCCATAATCCAATAGCCCTAAGTTCACAGTTTATGTGTTAAAAGGCTCAACATCAACGGGCATAATCTTTTTTATGTTAATGGGCAAGGAAAGCCTAGATAGTGCATTTTAGCAAAAATGCACCTTAACGATTTTCTGTGTTCTCATTTAAGCTGTCTAGATATCAGGGTAGCTGTCTAGGGTAGAGCGGAAGCATAAGCCTGCTGTTTTAATGGTATCCGCCTACGTGTCACACGATGATAATACGCGTCTAGAGGGAGTAGTAGTACACAATTGCGCAGAGACTAGGAAGTTAGCTTTGCTGATGGGCTGTAACGCCATTGCCCGGCACTCCTTGTAGGGAAGCTCGGATATCAACGATAGAGGTGAGCCTCTTTTTGTTTTTATATTAAGATTTAATCCTAAAATTTTTTATAAGGGTAACCCTCCGACCTTTGTTTTTCCTAGTACGGATGACTTCACGTTCTTTAGTGGTCAATAATTGTAGAGTCTCAGCCAACGGCGCCTTCTCTGATCACAGATGCATCATGTTTGTGACGGATATTTCCACAGTAGCTAAGCAGTCTCAACGTAATCATAGGAAGGCTAACTGGGATATTTTCTCATTTCAGGGAAGAGATGGGGATTGCAGCTCAAAGTGATTCTTTGGCTTTATACGGTCATCGTTCCGCCAATTCTAACAAACGGATGGATGGTATGATGAACTTTGCTGAACAAATGGTACATTGTTCCAAGGTTGACCACATTGCAAACATCTGCTTGTGTGGGCGCAAGAGGGCATTGAAATCGTGCACCACCAGTGCACTCAATGTCATACTTCACTTCTTACCCATTAATTTTTATATCACATAAGTAGTTACTCTCAGTACACAAAGGCTTTCATTGGCATTCGATTGCTTTCAGACATGGAAATGCTCCATCAATTTATCCAGTTGATGAGAAAAGAAAATTGGACTATATATGTCCTCGATTACACTTTGACAATAACTTTGCTACTAGAACTCCTTCTACAGGGGATTGGGATGCAGGATTGCTTATAATGCTAGGAAAGATAGCGATTTATACCGACGGGTTTAAGGTGGATAAAGGTATTGGAGTTGGAATCTTTTCTACGAACCTAATGATTAGTAAATCATATCATCTTTCAGACACCACTTCAATATTTCAGGCAGAAATATTCGCTAACCTTAAGGCATGTACTCTTGCTTTAAACATGGCCTTTTGCGGAAAGGAAGTCTATATTCTAACTGGCAGTCAAACAGCTATTAAACCTTTATCAGCGATCTATATTTCATCTAGATTAGTGCAAGAATGTAAGGAATTTATTAAAGCATTGAGAGGTCCATGGTAACTCTAGTTTGGGTTTGCGGGCATTCCAATATTGTAAGAAAAGAACGCGCGGACGAGCTTCTTAGACGGGGCAACTCTCCTATGGACACCCCTATTTTAATCTGTGCTCCTGCCTGCTATGGTCAAAGGTTGATTTATGCTAATTTTTGTGACAGGCAAATAGTGAGTGGGGCCTTGTCCTTTAGCAATCAGGTTAAGGGCTACATGACCAATCTATTCCAAGTGTAGAACATTTGACCAAATACACAGCAGCAGCAAATCAGAATTATATAGATTAATATCTCTCTTTACAGGGCATGAAGCTAGGCTTGGCCTACCCTGTGGTATCTCCTGCAATACGTGTCTACCAGTTTTCAAAGTGTGCTGTGTTTTTCCACGCACTCACATTGCATGTTAATATGTTAGCAATATGATTGATACCCTGTATACCATTGATATGTCATACTGAACAATGGATCTCCAGAGATATAAGTAAAAAGAATTTGAAAAATAATTATGTTATATTAAATTATAGAAGTATAGTATATAAACATTATTCATATTTTAGAGAATTAGAAAATTAGGTAACTTTTGACCTGTAAGAAGCTCAGTCTTAGTCTCAATCTGAATTTAGTAATTTCAGTATAGTAAAAAAATAATAAAGTTACATTCAGAGTATTCAAAATATGCTTTATTTAAACTAACTAATTTATTTTAATAATTTTATATGAAAAAGAAATATTATAATATTATTATAAGTGATCAACTTTTATTACAATATACATATTAAAAATGAAATATACATATTTTATAAATTTATGTGTCATATCTTAAAATGTTGATAATTTATATTTTAGTAATGATATGATTTCTCTGCAGCCGGTGTAATTTGAGAAATAGTTTTCTAAACTGATAATGGTTTTCAAAACTCCGGTAAAAAAAATTGACAGATTGTTTGATTGATAAAACTAAATAGTATTTAAAATAATTTGCAATGAAAAATAGTGATATGATGTGAACGGGCTGAAATCAAAATTAAAAATTTTTGGTGTCGATTCCTGTGCGAAGGTTACCGCTTAATGCCTGACATGGAGAAACATAAGTGAAGGAAACCCAGACATAATTGTAACTGATACTTTCTCCACGCGAGATGCTTTTTTGACTATTCCCTTTCACCATCTTATGAACCAAAATATCAATAGTACAACTTTCTGTCATTATTGCTTTTCATATGAAACGACTATTGACGAATTTTAGCTTACAGCATCATTCACAGCAATTTATTAACGTTATGTCCAACTCAACAACTCCGACTTCGTATACATAAACTTCTATGATAACGCTTAGTGATGGAGTGGTGTTTAAGTGTCAAAACGACAGAATTCGAAAAAGTATATTGCAACATACACCAGTAATGAACAAATGTGAAATGAAGGCTGACAACGACGCCTTAGTCTACTAGGAGCCATACATTGAACTCTGGACATATCGGTAATTTTTCGATTTATATCGCAGCAATATATACATCTTGAAAAAATTATGTCAATATAACTGTAGAAACTTGTACAACTTTTGCTTTATTGCGAGTATGGATACAAAAAATTATCACAATATGCAGACAAGCAAAGCTATGATGTAAAAGGTGCGAAGCAACGCGCACTAGCAAATTACACAATTTACACAAATTACACAATGTTTGAGCTTGAAAAAAAATAATAGGAACATCAATGGCCAATAACAATTTTGAATTGGTGATGCAGATATTGAATGTACATATATGATTTTGTGATTATGTTGATATTGTTGTTTATCTCTTTCCGATGTAGCATTGCATTTCGTATACTTTTACTTTACAAATAGACATATTCAGGAAAGCTATTTCCAGCTCATCAAAGAGATGGATATGGGTCAGATGTGAAAGATTAAAAAATTGGAACTGAGTATATTTTCGTGTGTCGTATGAATTATCACAACTTATTTATTTTATATTGGTACAGTTAATAATAATCATGTTACTTTGGAGATTACTTTGGCAATTGTCATTGCCAATCGATGGTAATATGAGCTCAATGAGTAGGTGAAATTCTAAAATTTTTTTCGAACTTTAATATAAGCCACTAACCCCCCGCTACTTCTATATGCCACACAAGTATCGAGTAGAAGGGCTCCAATTTAAATTCTACGATAAGCTTGATAAGTAATTCAATATGTTTTGGACTTCACAGGATCTTCGTAATGATTTTAAGCGTTTGACTTTATAAGTGAATACCGTGATTAAAACAAAATCATTATGAAAAATTTGCAAAAAGAAACATGGTTTTATTATTATGATAAAGTTTTTTAATATATCAACAAGTTTTTTTTAAATATATTATATAAGAGACACACTTTGTGATATATAAGATTCTTCAAGGACACATATTCCGACGGATAAGCAACACATTATATTAAGCAAAGAAGATAACATAATGTTAATTATTCTCTGATTTCTTAACTATGAATGTAGGGATATCAAGGTTTTTCCAGACACTGTAATATTTGGCGGGTATTTAAAAACATTTTTTTATTAATAAACTTTTAAATAAATTAAACATTTATTTTGGTTCGCCACTTCCATTAAAACACGCTTTTGTCTTATTTGAGTTTCTTTGGTAATTATCATCTTTTTCACAAATATTATCTCCCGATGATATAACATTTGTTTCTGTTTTCTCATTTCTTACATTAGTAGTATTGGGGTCATCAATTAACGTGCTACTACAGAATGTTGTTCGCCGGCTGTCGGTTGTATATTCAATATCCTTGTTTAAATTATTTTTGCTGCTACTCCAATCAGTTACATCACTTTTCGAATTGGTGTTAGAACTGCTATTTAGTGCCATACGCTGCATTTGTCGTATAACCGTAGCAGCGTAGTACGCTTGCTGAAAAATAAAGATAATATTAAAGTATAGAAATATAAAATATTAGGAAATATGTATTTACACATTTGATTATAAAAAAAATAGATCGATTAATTTATATATTAATTTATAATACCTATAACTACCACGGATATATATATATATAACCGTAACTGCAATAACTAACAATACATTAAAATAATTGGACTTGATGAGGTAGTGCTTTTATTTTAAAATTCAATCGTTTTGAAACGGTTATCTTCATAAGATAATTATTTTAATTATTTGTTGTTTGATTAGTTAATTTTCACGCTGTATCTGGCGAAAACATATAAGCCTGTTATGTATACTGTTTACAATAAACTGTTTTAAATAATATTCAATAAACAAAGTAAAGTAAATACTCAACAGTGTATGAATAAGGAACAATAATATTATACAGTCAAGGTTCATGCATAGTAAAGATTTAATTTATTGTTTATTATTTAAAACTAAAATTGTAAACAGTACAAATGATCGCCTTATATGTTTTCAAGAGCGATTACAATGACACTCCACCTTGAGCACAAAGTAAAAAAAACTTCGAAACGTCGGCGGTAGTTATACAGAATACAAAACAAAAATAAAAACTAATAAAACTGAAACAAGCTTTTATTTTTTGCACTTCAGCCTTCTTATTAATTATATAACACAAAGAAAAACATAAAAACACAAACATAAACCTAATCTCCCTATTTTTGTTTAGCGCAAAGATCGCAATGTTTCATGTCAGCTAATTGCTTAGGACACAACTTATTTAGCCTTCAAAGTTCAAAACTATTAAGACTGATATAGTAATCCAGACGTAGACAACGTAAAAAAATTAAAATCTAAAAAAAGAATAATTGATCTATAACACACACGAACGCAAAACAAAATAGAAACAGAAACAACGCAAGGTCAATCTTAACACCGAACGGATGGAATACAATGAAGTGCTCAATACTTATAACAGCGCATAAATGTTGTGTTGGATCTACTCTTAAGCTATCTTATAGCGTTATAGATTTGTAAATCTAGATTTACTCTAGATCTGTCAAATTTTTTCTTTTTCTCCGTTTATGACATCATCATTTGCACAAAAATAATGCAGGGTTGCTTTTACTTATTTTCAATTAATTTTTAGGTGACAGCTCGTCCAGTCCTGACGATGAGTCAACCTCGATGTTGTTAACGTCTTCGGTTTTGCTTTCGATCTTGTCAAGTTCGAGACACGAATGACACCATTGTTTAAGTTTAACAGATGAGAAAATTGAGTTCAATTTACGGTTTGTTGTTTTCACCTGTGGTATATCTTCAACGAGATATTGGTCTTTTGGAGGTACTTTAGAGATGACGTAGGGTATTTAGTGTTTTGGTTCAAGTTTTCTAGATTCACCAGCGGCTGCGGAAACGGATTCGTTTTCGATGACGAGGTGAGTGATGAGTTTTCGATGATGAGATCACCTTTTTTTTAGACACACAGCTTTGCATGCGCAGCGTCGAAACGAGTCTTTTAGCGCTCACGTTCCTGCTCGATATTCTTGGCAACCTGCTGACGCTTTTCGGCGGCAGTTGGAAGAATAATTTTTGTTTTATTATCGTTGTAAATGCCGGCAATTAGTCGATTCTGGGTGACATCTCGTAATTTAAAATCAAATTCCAGTTTATTTGCGAATTGATAGTCAACTGGAGATTATGGATCATAAGATCCCAGTCTTTCGGATTTTTTGTTGTCTTTCACAGGAACGATAATAATGTGTAATTGGCTCGTTCAACCTGACCGCTAGAGTGCAGTGTACGTACAGCAGTTTTTATGTGATTTATTTTTATATGATTTATATTAAAAAATAACTGGAAATTTAGCTGAAAAAAGAAGTATTTTTATAATATAAACAAAAATGAGATAACACAAGGATTACAAAAACGAACAATGATTAAAAATTAAAAAACACCTACAAATAAATTCGAAGTCCTCTTTTGAGATCATTGACAACAGGTGCGCTGTCATTTAGAACAGGTACCGGACTGCTACTAAGTATTTCAATTTTTGAAAAACTAGTAACTGCTCCGCTTCCCAAGTAAAAATATGTTCCGACGTTTGAATTGGTTTGTAATTGGTTTGGGGATTAATGAATAGTCTTGAATAATTTTTCTAAAAAACTCGTCAAACTTAAAATCGGAGGACTTCGAATATATTTGTAGGTATTTTTACATTTTTAACCACTCTTCCTTTTTAAAATCCTTGCGTTATCTGATTTTTGTTTATATGACCCAAATACCCTTGAGAAACGGTTTAACCCTTCCTCAATTGATTGGCTTGGTATAATGATATCGTCAAGGCACATAAGAATTGCTCCTTTACTTATGTGTGAGGAAATTTTGTTAATAGTAAAGTCCATAAGTAATTACAAAAGCGGTGTACTGCTTAGTTGATTCTTCAATTTCTATTTGGTGGTAACTCATACATAAATTTAATGTCGTGAAATACCTATTTCTGTCAAGTTGAGCAAATTGTTCTTCCATATTTGGCATGGGATACGGATTTTTCTTTGTGATTTTGTTTAAACACCTATAGTCGACACAAAGTCGATGTTCATGATCTCCATTTTTTTCTTAACTAGTACGATCGAAGATGCGAATGGCGAATCGGATGGTCGTTTAATATCGCTTTCAAGTAATTCCGCGATATTATGGGTTACAATTTCACGTTTTAGAAACGGTGTTTAAAAAAGTTTCATACAGATAGAAGTGTCAATTGTGAGTTGTATTTTCATTTTATTAGTCACACACTTGTCTATTTCATCAGTAGATTCGGCAAATTTGGTACTATATTCTGATAAAAGACGTTTTAATTTTTGGGTTTCAAATTTGTTCAATTCGACAGTAACTTGTGAATTTTCTATTTGGCATCGATCGCCTTCTATAATAACAAATTTTCCATCACGACACAATTTATCTCTACCAATATTTATAATATTTTCCTTTTCAAGTCAGATTCGTTGATGCCATTCACAACATGTCTTGCGTTTGCTGGTTCTGTAAGTTTGCTTTTCTTTTCCAAAGCATGCTGTTGGACTGCAAATAACATTGATTGATCATCCCAGCCAGCTCCTCTTTTAAACTTCGTGGGAGTTTAGACATATTTGTACTCACAGTGACTACAATCCAAAAATCTTCCAATTGCAGATAATAAATTAAACAGATAATAAAATTCTTTATCGATCACGCAGTTATAAATTTAATAATTTAATTTTTAGAAGAAAGTTTTCTGACAGAGCTTGGTCCTATACCCAACATTGTGGAATATTAAATACAACGGCATTTTAAAGCAGAGGGTATGCAGACAGGGCCCAGATTTTAAGATTCGCCGATGACAGGTAAATAAAAAGCATATCAGCATAGTAGAAGATGTAGTAAATAGACCCATTTGACAAGTACAAAATTAACTATAACCAGTGGGACCAAACCTCGTAAAGAATAAAGCCGAGTCAGTGTCAAAAAAACCGAGTCAGTTTACAAGTCAAAAAATATTTGGAAATGTAACCATAAATATGAGAAATACTAATATAACACACAAATCCTGCTTAAAATACGCATGAGTCATAAGATTCTGATTAAAACACCATTAGCAATAATGAGTAGTAGTAAATGTATTCATTAAGTTCGAACTTGGTCGAAAGTAATTAAGTAATTAAATTCTAATTACGAGGTACAACTTGATTATTTTATATGTAGCCCCAATATAATAGAAAGCTATTTTATATAAGGCAAGTAACGCATAGGCGGAAAAGTAAAAGCATAAACAGATTGTGCGCGCTTAGAGTATATTGCGGTTTTCACATTACATCTGAAGAGGCGGTTTTGGGATTTTTTTTCTTTTTTTTTTTATTAGGACTCAAATGTGTGGTGTTATAATTGACAATATTTAAATTACAATTGTAAATAAAAACATATTTGTGTTAGTTTGCACTTTTTGTAATTAAATTAGATTTCGAGAGAAGAAATGGGGTTCCAACAAAACTTCAATTTCGAATTTTATTTACGAACATGTAAAGTTGCAAGAATTAGAAATAATAAGAGCATTGCGAAATGATCACAGCAGTGGCAGTAAAGTGCAAATAATAGACATACAAACAGTATTATTTTAATTATATTAAATTATATTAAATATCGAACCATTAATGCAAAGAATGCATGATGAAGCAGATTTTAACTTACTGCAGCTCCTTACGAGACATGGCTAATTAAAATCATGCCTAAACAGATTTGGTCAGAAACAAGACTGTTACTGCACATATAGCGAAAACGTTCCGGAGGCCGTTCAACACATAATCTTTGACTGTAGAAGATACAACCCAGCGAGCTAGACCCTGCATGTTGCTCTTGGAAATATAGCTTCAACTGAAAAAGTAATAGGACACTTACACATTAACTCAAAAAATACACTGAACGCCACCTGTCACTTTGATATCGAGTTGAGTTCGAATCCAGAAAACGGGAAAAATAATTGTACCGTTTTTTGGGATTTCGTTGACAAACATAAAATAATAAATTTGCCATATTATTGCAATCGCTTTAGCAATTGATGGTCTTTAAAGCTTTTTACACAGCTAAAAAAAAATTGCTTAAATCAGTGAATATTTTATATTTTAGGTGCTTTGCTATATTTAGTGAAACGTACCTAGTAAATATCATGATCTGACAAATAATAAACTTAAGGGATATATCTTTAAAATTGGTAGTAAAATGTAACTTAACAAATTAGACATTTGTACTTTAAAAATTTTATTATAATTACCTTCCAACGTGATTTTGCAAAATTCTTTTTCAATTGCTCTGATACAGTGCCGTGAATATTTTTGTTGCTAGCCTCATTTCCAGAAATCCTATTGAAAAGAAAATGTTATTTAAATAAAAAATCTCAGTATTTCTTAAAAGAATACCACGGATGTCCTAAAGCTTGTTTGCACGTAAATCGCTTATCAACATTAACACACATTAAATTCTGTATAAAATGCTTTGCAGATTCACTTATTTCATCCCAATATGGTGAGTCGAATTCAAATTCACCTGAAATCATATGGAATGAGAAAATTAGCACACATTATTTTTTAAATTTACAAATAATTTGAATTAATAACTTCAGGTCATTAAATGAGTTATAAACACGAAAACAAAATAATAATTATGAAATACTTATTTTAATAAGTATTTGTCATAACATTGATCCTACATATGATGCTTACTTTATATATTTTCTCTTTGCAAAAAAATTCCAAAAAATATAAATTAAATTTGCTTTACAATATATTTCAAAAATAATTATAATTATTTGCCTTTAACTCCTCGTATCTACTTCCACGTACAAATTACTCATACATTCTGATTTTTATTTTAAAACGCATAAATAATTATTATACGCGGGTCACAATTTATATTTTGAGCCTAATAATAAACAAAATATTAACTTATCTTTAAAAAAATTTTATTTTTTCACGAAGTATTCTCCTTTATGACACTAATGCATCATTCGAACAATTTGTCAAAGCACTTTTTCCAATCCTCCTCAGACATCTCCAAAACATGGTTTTTAAATGCAACAACGGCTTCTTCCGCAGACAAAAATTCTCCGAGAGCACATTTACAAATCATAAAATACTCAGCGAGAACAGTTGCTTTTTCTTGATTTGTGAGCGCCCAAGTGTTATCTTCTTTTTTAAGCGGTGTGCAATGGAGTATGGCACGATTACTACTCTTTGTCACTTTCCATAAGAAGTGATTTGTAACCTTTGTAGCACTCAATCTTGAGATAAAATTTGATATATTTTTTTTCTTTCAGTCTCTAATAATTCTTTCAGCTCTTTTCTTAATTTGTTCATCTTTGTCGCAGAAGAAAGTTAAAATTAAGAAGATAACAATGGCTGAAATAAAAACTATCATCGCCGTTAACATCAACCCAAAAAAATCACCAAGCTATGATGAGATAACTGATAAATTTCTTCTAGAATTATCTGTAATAGCTATCATTTACATTAGAAACATCTTTAACTGCATGATTAGCAATAAGATTTTCCCTTCTGCTTAGAAACTAGCGAAGGTTGTAGCAATACCTAAACCAAACAAAAATGCTTCAATTGTCAACTCTTACAGACCGATCAGCTTATAACCCATCTTATCCAAACTATTTGAAAATCTTCTTTTCTCCCGACTGGAACCAATAATACAAGAAAACAACCTATTGCCAAATCACCAATTTGGATTTCGTAAAAACCATTCTACTATTCAGCAAATTCATCGGGTGGCTAGTAAAATAGCAATGAATATAGACTCTAAGAAGATCACTGTGGGTGTCTTTTTAGACGTAGCTAAAGCATTTGACAGCGTCTGGCACATAGGATTGCTTTACAAACTATCAAGAGTATTGCCTGTCGATTTTTATATATTACTGAAGAGCTAACTTAAAGAGAGATATTTCTTTGTGCAATATCAAAACCACACATCCCAAATGATAAAAATAGAAGCCGAGTTCCCTCAAGGGAGTGTATTAGGCTCGATTCTGTATCTTTTATACACTGCAGACATTCCTAAGTCAAAAAGTGGAAAAATACTAACTGCAACGTTTGCTGACGACACTGGACTTTTATCAACAAACATCACAAAAGCAACTACAAACCTTCAAAATCGTCTAAACGAAGTGATGCATTGGTCTGACACCTGAGAGATAAAGATAAAAGCCGAAAAAAATCTCCAAGTTATTTTTACCAAAAGGAAATTGTTAACATTAATATACCAATCCGCAAGAAAGTCAAATACTTGTGCATGCTATTAGACCAAAAGCTGACTTGGAAGGAGCACATAATTCAGAAGAAAAAGGAAGCTCATCTGAAGATTTGTAGATCTATATTGGCTTCTTGGTAAAAATTCCAGTCTGTCAATAAATACCAAACCACTAATTTACAAAACTGTTATTATTCTGATTTAGAAATATGGAATTGAAATATGGGGAACCACCTGCAAGACTAATATAAATACTATCCAAAGGCTGCAATCGAAAATCCTGCGAACGATAGTAGATGCTAGATGGTACATCAGAAATGATGATATTCACAAAAACCTGAATATCCTAACTATACATGAAACAATTTAAAAAAGCAGTGCTAACCACTTATCTAAATTGCTTCAGCACACAAACTTAGAAATGAGTAAACTTCCTGCTTTTGTGATGACTGTAATAAACAATGACGTCGTCACAAGAATAAATTTACTATTATCAATAATTTTCCTTGGATGTAAACTTTATCAACAACACTACCCATTTCCCTTGGGTTTGAACACAAAATTTGTGTTTTTGCGTTATATGCAATGAATTTGAGTTGAGCTACACACCGCAATAACAACAACCGAAATCTCGTTAGAAGTAACCAGTATAAAAGGCAACGAACAATCGAACAAACATGACTTGAACAGTGCGCAAAAGCAGCACTTAGAACAGTGCGCATCACAGCAAGTGCATGGGCACTTGATCACAGGCCACGGCGCAGAGCACTTCGCAGCACAAAAGGAAACATTTAACAAGGTAACTAAGTAATTTATAACACATTGATTCCCAACCTACCAACGTAGCCTAGTCGCTAACGCTAATTCCAAGCAACGTAGCCTAGTCGGTAACGTTGATTTCCAACCTATCAGCGTAGCCTAGTCGGTAACGCTGATTCCAAGCAACGTAGCCTAGTCGGCAACGTTAATTCTCTTCCTAATACTTATCAGGTTTTCTTACTACAGGAATTATAGTAACTTTCAATATTTGTAATTGCTAGCAAATAAGTATTAATAGAAACATTGTAAACAAATTTATTTTGTAAAAATAAATTAATTAAACTAAAAATAGTCCGGTTTTTTTAAATTATTATACAACAAGAAAATTCGGGGTTATAAAGAAATTTTCTTGTAACAACCCTGGGATCCGGCGAGCGAAACCTCGGCGAAAAGGTTCATTACACCTTGGAACTAGGGTACAAAAAACGCCTTAAACGTCTTAAACGAACATTTCCAACCAACTTAAGTATTAAGTATTAAATTAATTTGAATTCTTTACTTAACAAAAAAAATGTTAATGTTTGTTAATTTATTATTATTTATTTTATTTATTTTATTTATTTAATTTATTTTATTTATTTTATTTATTATATTTATTATATTTATTTTATTTTATTTATTTTATTTAATTTATTTTACTTATTTTACTTATTTTATTTATTTTATTTATTTTATTTATTTTATTTATTTTATTTATTTTATTTATTTTATTTATTTTATTTATTATATTTATTTTATTTATTTTATTTGTTTTATTTTATCTTATTTATTTTATTTATTTTATTTATTTTATTTATTTTTTTACTTTATTTATTTTATTTATTATATTTTATTTATTTTATTTATTTTTTTTATTTTATTTATTTTATTTGTTTTATTTTATTTATTTATTTAATAAATAAAATATTTTTTTTATTTATTTATATTTATTTTTTATTTATTTAAGATAACATGTTATCTTAAATCATGATTTAAGATAACTCAAACTTCGAAATTTTCATTTGTTAAAAGTATTACTAGATATTTATGATAGTTGTAATATCAATGGAATAAATATAAAAAAAATAAAATAATAAAAAAAAATTTAATGATTAATTAAACAAGGAAAAAAATATTGCAATAATGATAGTTATTGGGTAATACTATTAAAAAAGATACTTATTTAATTAATTTATGAAAAACTTATAAAATTAGTGAATGTGGTAGAAAATGGACTAATTTGTGCCACTATTATTATTTTCAAACCCAATTAAAAACAATTTTACATATTAACTATATTTTAATAACTCAAAAAATATAGGTCAGAAGTGAAATTCATATCAAATCAAATAAAATGAAGCTGAAAATTATTTTAAAACTCATTTTATTTTTACCTTTTAAAATCTGTGCAAATAAATTCGCATCATTTTCGTCATAAAAGGGTGGATAACCACATAGCAGTATATACGATATTACTCCAATACTCCAAACATCAACAGCTTTACCGTACGGTTTTTGAGCTAAAACTTCTGGAGCAACATATCCTGGTGTACCACAAGCAGTTGCCATTATGCCAGAATCTTCCATTTTCGACAGACCAAAATCACTGATCATTATTTTACTATCATCATCGGGACTATAGTAAAGCAAATTTTCCGGCTAAAATTAAATAATTAGTTATTTGTTTTTTGTCATCAAATGAAATATATAAATATGTCAAAATTATAAAAAAGGTAGCATAGATAACGTAATAAATTATTTGTAAAATTTTTTTGTTTTCGTTTCAGAAAGGAAAAAAGTCGTATCACAAGAGTCAATTGTCAATATCTACCAAAAATCAGGATGCCAAAGAAAGGTGTACCAAAAGAAACTTTCAGTCATTTGTGCTAAAATGGGATCATAAATTATGAAGATTGTAAATACGTAAGTATCCAGAATAAATGTACAATATTCTTTACCACTGATGAAAAGAAACAAAATACGAAAGTAATTGGTTGTGAATTCATCGACTGACTTTACTGGAGAAATTACTTTTCTTTTATATTCACCACTATTGTGAATGAAATGGGAATGAGAATTTTTTCCCATTTTTCCCATTCGCTTCGGTAGAAAATTCGAAGTCCTCATTCCCGATCAATTGGACTGGGAAAACGGCTCTCCTAGAGTAAAACACTTTTGATTTCATGGTACACCGACAGTTGAAAAACCAAAGAAGGAGTTTATGCAGGGATATTTGATCCTTATACTAGAATCTCGTTCGCGTTGGGTATATGACCCACTGTCTTCCAAGTAGAGGTTCACGCTATCGAGGTCTGCGCTCGTATCAATATAAACAATGGGTTGAACGGCGCCCGTATCTGTATTTATTCAGAGTTTTCCTCAAAGCTTCTATTAGACTGCTATGACACGCTACAGCAACTGGCAAACAAAAACAAAATGATGCTTTGCTGGGTCCCTAGTCACAAAGGAATCAACGGCAATGAGTCTGCCGACAGTCTCGCGTGGTCAGGATCTGTCACTCAAACCTTTGGACCGGAAGCATATTGTGGACCAAGTTGGTCTACAACTAGGCTCTGATTGATAATGATGCTACTGGCGCGACATTCCATGCAACCGGCAGGTTAAAGAGCTGGTTCATTCCTATAGTTATGGTAAGGTATCCTTCCATAGTTAAGGCTGCTGAACAGAGTTAAGGTTGCTGGTGGGATATTTAACGGCTCACCATGGACTGCGTTATCAATTTAACAAAATGGGTCTGTCTGAAGAGATAGATTGTCGACTCTGCTTAGAAGCAGACAAGACTTCCAGTCACTTTCTTTGTGACTGCCCAGTCTTGATCTGGGTCAGAAAGAGGTCACTGGGTCGAGAACTTCTCCCCCCTTCTGATATTAGGAGGTCCTTAACGGCCAACATTCTAGCTTCCATTCGGAAGGCGGAATGTCTTCTGTTCGGTTAGGGTCTGTTGCAGCACAAAAGATCAACCATGGTCGCAGTGCTCCGCACCGTTAGAAGCTGGTACCCCGTTTATCCCTATTCCTACATTAATAAATAAGATATATCACTTTGTTTAACTGTTTTTAAGAAAAAATAAATTATGTCAATATTTAAAAAATAAAATATATAATTAATTAAAATAAAAAATAATTAAAATAAAATAAAAGTTTTCAATTATTTTTTTGTAAGTTATTCATTATTAAATGCAATTGAATGCATTTTTAAAAATTCAAATTTTTTGATTTAAACCAACATTAACTGAAGCGCATTTCTCTTCATTTGTTTGTTTTGATTCTTATTTTAGTACTTTTCGCTATCAAAAATGCAAATTCTGCCACAGTTTAACAAAAAAACTTTTGTTGTTCCCACATTTTAAGAGAACAGCTGTCTTCCAAGCAATTCAGATCAAGAGAAGTCAATTTTAGAGAAAAATACATTCTGAGAGAAACTTATTCCCTGGGAAAATGCAGAATAGAATACAATATTATGTATAAAAATATGAAGCTCTACCTCCTGTGAGGTGCGCTCGCCAACTCTCGTTATATTCATACGTACAGTATCCTAGTACTCACGTTATACACGGAAAAGTTAAAAATTAACTTTTGAATGAGCACACCTCTTAGGAATATGCTACTGACAAAACAAAAAAAATATATATCCAAGTTTTGTGGGAATAGGAATAAAAATGACGTTGCACCACTCGAGCAAAGTTGGATTTTCAGTACAAAAACGGAAATTTTTAAATTCAAGGTCATTTTACATCTTTGTTACTTATTACTTATGTTATTGTGTTTTAATTATTACTTATGCGCAAAACACAGTGGCGGAAAGTGGTGGGTTGCCGAATTAGGTTTTTTCTGATGAGTCACCATTTAAGTAATATGGACAGTGTGGGCCGCTAGAACAGCTGACGGCTTCTCTCCGCCCGTGTTCATTCACCGTGGGGTAAAAATAAATACCCAAATCTATTGGTAAATTATTTAAGTGGGAGCACTAAGCACCGGTCAGATAAGCATTTTGGTTGTAGGCGTTTGACATTGCAGCAGGACTCAGCACCATCGTACAAAGCACGCGTCAACTAAGAATGACTGAAAAACAACGTTCGATGTTTATTTGATATAAACCGTTTAAATTTCTCGATTTGGGTTATTTTAAAAAGTAAAGTCAAATCTGATAAATATAATACTTTAATTACATATAACATTATTTTGTTTACAATAAAGTTAAGGCATAGTAAATCAATATTGGAAAATAAAATCAACTCTATAAATAGTTCTGAGTTTAATTGTGGCAAGTTTATCAAAACCTTCCGATATATAAACCCAAATAGTATATAAGACATCCGGTCAATCAGTCACGCAAAAATATCATGAAGTCCTTTTCGAAATAAAAGAGGTCAGAGTAGCTGAAATGTTCAGAAAGCAGGTATATTATAATAGGTTAGATTTTTGAGGCCTATCTCGTTTGCGATAGCAGTCGACGACTTCTTGGGGCCTTTCGAATTTCTGTATAACCTATCTGTAAAATAAACTTAATCAGTTAATTTGTTAATAAATCGTTTGGAAAATTTTTCTCAATCGAAAAAACGATATTAGACAATTTGTTGGGTTGGGGCAAAAGATTTAATTTTAAAATTTAAAGCGCTTTTCATTTATATTTTCTTCATTTACTTCTAAAAATTTTAATATATTTTTAAAATATTTATTTTCTACAGTTTTGCATACTCTTCAAATATTTTATTTCCACAATTTTAAAATTTGTGAAATTTTTTTAATTTTAGCCATAATTTTTTTTTAGCATCACTTTTAAAATATGGTAATATGGTAGTATGTGGCATCAGATTTCCACACCGTGATATTCATAAGGCAACGTGGCTATCTCCCGATCAATCAACACGAAACCAGATTGATCACTTCGTGATTGACGCAAGGCACACTTCGAGTGTGCTTGGCGTACATTCATTCCGTGGTCCAAATATCGACTCAGACCACCACCTTGTCGCAGCCGAGTTACGCATAAGGCTTAGTACCGCCGACAATGTACGCTGCGCACGACAAAACCAATGGCACGACGAAGAGTGTCGCCGAACTACTACTGCGAAGAATGCAGCCTATAAAAGGACCTTGCAGTCAGCAGCTACACGTATCGTCCGTAAACACTATCGGGAGATAAAGAAGGTAGAGAGATACGTATTCAAAAACGGAAGAAACGAGAATGAGAAAGGCGCAACCGACAGATAATCGAGGTGTATAGAAACTGGAATGCTGCCCGTAAATTTTATCAAAAAGTCAACCTTCCGACTCAAGGCTTTAAGCTTGGAGCATCAACCTGTAAGGTCAAAAATGGTAATCTGGTTACGAATACACAGAGTGTATTGAAAGTATGGAAGGAACATTTCTCCAAACAACTATCTGGCGATGATAGCATCAAGTCCGTCTTTGGAGAAACGCTCTCGAAGTACCCAATTAAAAATGATAGTGTTAAAAATCTACCACCTACCCATAACGAAGTGCGTGTTGCTATGCAGCGACTAAAGAACAACAATGCGGCAGGCGCAGATGGTCGATGGCGATATGCTGACGTATGCATCAGCTCAACTGCAGAATATGGTGGGATGGAAGCATTCTCAGCGATTGGAATCTCAGTATCCTGTCTTGGAAAAAAGGGGACCTGACGATTTGTACCAACTTTTGCAGGATCAGCCTAATACCTATTGCGTAGAAATTCCTTTTACCGGTACTGTGTGAAAGGTTGAAACCACATGCCAACTTAACACCTTTTTGTCAATTATAAAGCAGCTTTATAAAGCAGCAATCATGCGCAGGATAGGTGTTCGTTGTAATGAACCAGATTCTTGCTTACGCCGACGACATTGACATCATTACGCGTACCAAGCGTGATGTTACAGCTACTTTTGTTGCTACCGAAAAGAAATCTGCTGAAATAGGCTTAGCGGTGAATGAGGGCAAAACGAAGTATATGTTGGCTACTGGTAAAAAATGTGCGCCGCTCAGATGCCGAGTTAGAGGCTGGCGATTATACTTTCGAATCTGTCAAGGATTTTATCTACTTTGGCATCGCCGTTACGATGTCAGCCTGGAGATCAGACGAAGAATCATCATTGCTAATAGGTGCTACTATGGGCTCGGTAGGCAATTGGGATGTAAAGCTCTCTCTCGACAAACAAAACTTTCCTCTCGAGAAGAAACTTTTTCGTGAGATCTTTGGTCCTCTACGAGTTGGCGACAACTACCGCATACGAATGAATCACGAGGTGTACGAGCTTTATCAGGACGCTGATATAATTCAGCGAATTAACATCCAGCGGCTTTGCTGGATGAAGATGCTACAGCGAAAAAGGTATTTGAAGCAGTAGTTGAAGGAAGAAGAAGTAGAGCTAGATCGTGTTTCCGGTGGAGTGATCAAATTGAGGCAGCACTAACTGCGCTGGAAAAAACTGCAGAGACATGCTGCGTCAGGCCGAGACCCGGTAGCGGGTTGTTATGGATACATAAGTGAGTAAGTTAGATCGTATCTCCGGTGGAGTGATCACCGGAGTCGCCATCACTTTAAAATAACAAATGCATTTAAAATTGTTTTCTGGAATGCCAATTGGTTAGCTCAACATAGCAATAAATTAAAAACCGCCAACCACTCATCTGGCAAAGCTCGTGGAGAAGCTGCGATAATTGTGAAAAGCGATATTGATCATTCTGTGCAAATCAAATATAAAAAATCATTTCTTCAGTCAATATCATTAACAGTCACAAACAATTATGGTCCAATTTGTATAACCTCTGTCTAATGCCCACTAAACCAAAAATCAAAAGTCATCGGTTTGAGGAATTTTATCACACGCTTGATCAAACATTTATGGCTGATGGAGACTTCAACGTAAATCATACTCACTGGGGCTCCAGGCTATTCACATCAAGAGGACAAGAATTGTTTCAGACTCTGTAAGAGCCAACAATTTGCTTCACGCATCAACTGGTGAACCAAGTTATTGGCCAACCGACTACAGTAAAGTTCCAGTCGTGATCAATTTTTGCATATTTAAAAGCATTTCTACCTCACAATTATACATACATTCGAATTCAGACCGTTCCTCAGACCATTCTCCCCTAATTATTATTATTATGAACTCAAAAATCTTTTTAAAGAACAAAAACACTCGATTATACAACAAAAGTACATACTAGAGTATTTTCGGGAACATTCCACTTAGAAGCGGTAACGATATCAGATCTGCGGTCGAGCAATTCAATATAACGATACAGAATGCCGCTGGAAATTAACCATGCATATCAATGGATACAAAGAATACCACATTGATGCATAAAGGAAGTTACTTCAAAAATGTTGGTGCGACGAATTTGGCAAGTAACAAAAAATCGTAAGCACAAAAGACGTTTACAATATGAAGCTATAAAAAAACTTAAAGAAACCTTTAGAGAGAACAAAAACAAATACATTGAAGCATACTTATCTAAATTGTCTCCCAGTAAAGCAACCGACTATCCATTATGGCGGGACCCTAGCACACTGAATGGATCAACGCCACACATTTCACCACTCAAAATTTTTAATGGACATTAAGTTAGATCCAGAATCGACAAAGCTCAAACCTTCGCAGAGCATCTCTAAGGTCTGTTCCGACCATGCCCGTCTAGAAATCACGAAAACGATGCTGAAATTGAGGCTTTTCTCCAAACACAGCATCAAATGGATTTTCCCGTCCCAAAAACCACAATATAATAAATTAAATTAAAATTCCTGGGTACGATTTGATCACTAGCAAAGTGTTGAAAGAACTACCAAACATTGGTCTTGTATTCATTCACCAACTTTTTAATACTATTATTAGTCAAGAATATAATACAAGTCAATGAAAAGTAGCCCAAATTATTCTGATATCAAAACCAGGTAAACCGTTAGAGTAAGTTACATCTTAAAGACCTATAAGCTTACTTCCAGTGCTCTCCAAAGTCTTCAAAAAAATACCATATAATTTAAAGTCGCATACTAATTCCTGGTCACTAATTCCACCAATTCACCAAGTGCAACGAAACAAATGACGCATTAAAGCTAACGAATCCAAATCTACACAAACTCCATTCACACTTCACCATGGTGACTGCCCACCAGATACACTAAATAATTACGTACTACCGCAATCAAGTCGCGAGAACTATCTGAGAGTTCATCTTGATCGGCGTCTCATCTGGAAACATTATATATTTACAAAACTCGGTGTAAAAATTCGTTCCATGTACAGGCTTCTTTGCCAAAACTCAAAGCTATAACTAAACAATAAAGTACTTCTATATAAAATTATTTTAAAACTAATATGGACTTACAGTGTCTCGATCTGATATTACAGAGATTTGAATCAAAAATAATTCGTTTATGTGTGGCTGCTCTATGGAATATCCCAAATAGTACTTAAAAGAGCGATATCCACGTGCCATCAGTGTTTGAAATAATATAGTCAGCAAAAGAAGGTTATCAAATCCCCCGATTTGCACACGAGCTGTTATCAGATATCAACCATTCACGTCGACTAAGAAGATTTTCTACGTCGGATTTGCCATATAGAACCCAAAATACGTGAATCGTTATAGTGAACTCACTGATATTAAGCATTTATTGCCAACTACTTATTCATTATTAGTTGTAATTTAATCTTTAGCGGTGTTTACTACAGAGTGTCCCGCACATATTTACATATCATTTTATTCTTTTTTTTATCCATAAGTAATACTGAATGTTGTATTTCCAAATAATTAAATAATATATTAAAAAAAAATTTAAAGCACGCAGAAAATGTCCACTTTTAAAAAGCATCAATTGTAAACACGCTTCCAAGAAAGAAATAGGATTTATATAAACTTTTACTTACTTTGAGATCTCTATGAACAACACCTTGTTCATGCATATAATCTACAGCTTCTAATATTTGTCGAATTAAATGTGATGCATCTTTTTCTGTATATGACCCTTTTTCAACGATTCGGTCGAATAGCTCCCCTCCTGTCACTCTAAAATTGAATAACAGACATAATAAATTACCAAATTATATAAAACATAAAATTAAGCTATATACAGTATAAAGCTTAAAAATTGTTTTTAATAATAAAACTTACAATTCCATTACCAGATACACCTTCGATTTGTCTTCATATGTTTCGAGTAATTGAACGATATTCGGATGTGTCAACCTACGAATTGATTACATATTTATATGAGAAAAAGCATATGCAAAAGTATCATTATAATAATTTACATAAATGTTAATACCTGCCACACCCACTATCTTAATTTTAGTTTTTTGGAGTTCATGAAAAGTCTTATATGTACGTGAATAATATAGGTAATGACTATCACCATTTTAGAATGATTTCAAGCTAAGCAACGATTTCAATATCGTCAATATAACATAATCTAAAAACGGCAACTACAACCACTTATCAAAAAACACTCACCGTACTCCTCTAGAGTTGCTAGCATCATTCTCATTGGCACTGAACCTACAGAAAGAGAACAGCAGTGAAAACAAAGAAAAACTATTAAAAATAAAATTCTACTAACTTAAATATTTAATTATGAAAAAGATGTAAAGTATATGTAACTAAAACATTAATTTAACTTGCAATAAGTAAAAAAATGAATAATAATCACAGATTGAATTTTTATTTAAAAAGAAATGCATGAAACTTTTTTTTAAATATGATTTATGAAAAATTTGATGAAAAAAAAATTTATGTTTGATGTTAAATTTAAAAATTTTAACTTAATAAAAGAATTATTTCTAAATTTACCGTATAGTTATTTAATTGTTTATTAGAAATATTTAATTGTTATTTATACAAGTAAATAACATGATATTAGATATGATAACATGTTATCATATAATTGAGTTCTGAGGGTGATAGTACTTTGCTCAACCCAAGCTAAAAGTTATAATATTGGAGGTGAACTCATTTTATTTTGATTTTGTTTGTTGAACCCACCACGCTCCAGAAAGTAGATAAGTTCTAATTTACAATAAGCAGCTTAAGTTTGATCAATATTTGGATGATCACCTTGTATAGTTCGTTAAAATATTTTTTAGTTTACAATATGCCTTTTACTTTGGCACAGGAGCATATGGTATATGATTTTAACATAGCATTCACTAACTAACTGGTCTTCACCAACAATCTCGACTAGTAAAGCAATTCAAAAACTAATGGAATATATGCCGACTTTTATCTTATGTACTATGTCCCCTCTAATAAAATGTACAATACAAAATATAGCATTCAAAATTTAAGAAAACTTTTAATTTATACAAAAGTAATATAAGAATGGCCGCTTATATCAGTAATTTGTTCGCCACAGCACATCCCCCTAAATCATTGCTATTGCTAAGAAAATTGCAGCTATACCGGATGATGCAGAAAGCTACGACTAATCAATCGCAAGGGATCCTCATCGGCAAAATTTTATTTAAGCTTCTGTGATTTTGTATTGACACATTCAACTGCTTGTCACCAAAATAAATCTTTAAGACTATCATACATTCTTTTAGATATTTTACGCAGGCCTATATATGGTCTGAACGCAAGAAAACCCCGTGCAGTCGATTGATTGTTATATATGATGCTTGACGAAGAACTAGCTTGCTGTAGTCCATCATGCCATTTGCTGTAAGTTAGTTAGGCGTCATGCGAATAGATTTGGTTCTCAGTAAGTTAATAAGAGCTCGAAACAAATCCAAACAAAACCTGCCATCATAACCCTCTTCAACCCACCATTATCCACATTTCATTTTTTTTCTCTAATCCAGAATACCGCTTATCGATCAGATTTGTTTGTTATCAGGAGAACACATTGTAGTCTAGTATAGCACTACACTTGTACCTGCCCGCCTCAGTAAGTAACCGTGGACTTATCGTGTTATTGCGGGCTATAAGACGATGGACCCTTTTCCCCATATTCGCAAGGTCCCAATAATGAAAAAGATAAACAAAATAAATAAAATAATCTAGCACGCTTATAGACGTAGAAAACGAAACTTCTAAGTGGTAAAGGTACCAAATAGTATTTGTGCTATCTCAAAGAAGGTTTAACGCCAAAAAACGGAATACAATAAGAACTCGAAAAACTGTTCAACATGTTTTAAGACGCCTATTTGTCAGTTTTTTGATGCAGCTCATGTTGTTCTGCTTTGGCACCAAAGAGTAAAAGCTGGAAATTCTACCAAATTCTTACCCTGGGTACATACTCTCTCATAATGAACAAAACAAAATGAAAGAAGTTCTCATAAATTCTCATGTATAAAGGATAGAAATCCAAATTACTTTTGACGGCATACACTTTCGTCTGCGTAACCGAAGGAGACTCTGAATGTCTGCAGTTAAAGATACAACAGCTGTCAGAATAGATAGTCACAAATTTGTTGGCAAGCATCAGGGATAATATACCTAACGTATATTACAACTTATTTGTGGAGCTGAAGAATGATAAGCTAGTGATAAATGGTTTTGATGATCAATCACTGCAAACGATTAAAGCCAGCAACTGCAGATTAACGCAATCGCCTTCCAACTGCATGAAACCGATGTAGCGGAAAAATAGAGGCAGCCAAGAGGATCGAGGATGCCAATTTAATATCCTAGTAGAGTGAAGATATTAATAAGCTGTACTAACTTGGTAAGCGAAAGTCTTTCTGTCACACATAGATAATGTTCTAATAGAGAATGAATAGATTAGCAGCCTACAATGTTTAGCACTAAATTTTAAATAATACTGTATCATGTAGATAACATGGAACATTTGATGTGATAAACCAAAAAGCTGCCTGACTTTAAATTACATAAATTTTCTTTATCTTTCAGAGTTCCTATCTAGAAAGTTAGCAGCAGCGCAGGTCACGAATCATGTCAATTATGTATCGCTGCATATTATAGCAACGGGTTATCTACCAAGCGATGACACTCGAGTACCCCCAAAAATTTAAAAACTAATAAAAAAACTACGAAAATTAGATTTTTATTTTCTCTAATAAGTGCATGAGATGCCAATGCGCATCACGAGGTACGGGAAAACTTTGATACCAACAAGCGCATGTCGAATATTTTTTTGAATTTATATATAATAAATGAGAATGGCTTAATGTGAGTAATGTTACCAACATTTGTAACTAGTACACGTAAAGAGGTCTTTGATATAACTATAGAAAATACTAGGGAGTAATGAACAAGTCAGAATTTAGATGGTATCCAGTGAATCTTCACGATGTACCATAAAGCGCTTGATTGGATTTCTCCTTTAAGAAATATATGACAAATTTATGACAAGAGATGAAGTCTTTTAAGGACCTTTTTTTTCTCTAATCCGTTTTTCGATAAGTACAATCAAATATAATACGTATTGCAAATCAGAATGTAATTGGAAAAATTTTTTGATAAATCGAATCCAGCTAGATATATAAAGAAGTATGAAAACTGTTTCAGATCCAACTAAACTTTTTGTTATATTAATGCTAAAACGAAAGTTAAGAGCTATAATCTACAACAAGTACATTTCTAGACTTTCTATATTATAATATTTTATAACTGGTGACAGAGAAGAAACGTCACGTTATGATTGCATTATAGATTAATGTTTTAAGAGGTAAAAGTATAAAAATGAATATAAAGAAATCTGACATTCCGCACGTAACAAAATCGGAATAAAAAAATAAACAGATGATCATATTACACAGTTCAATCTAAAACAAGTTAATATTTACTAGATTTTCAGCCAAAATACATCATGTGAAAATTAAAAATCATATAGTTGAAGACACTATGATAAAATATGAGGACTCTAGAGTAACTTTAAATTATTCAACATTTTCAATTTAATTTCCATAACATAGCCTCAACAGTGCTAAGAGACACTACAATTTTAATTAGAACATAAACCAAATTAGACGATCAGAATTCGGTATGTTTTGAATCAGTAGAGACATTAAAATGAAATTTTGCTTAAATAAAGTCAGGAGTTGAGAAGGACCCTCTTTTAAATGAACACCTCCAAATTTGTGCTCAAATATGGTGAACTTGTCCATTTTTTTGAATATCTCAAAAATTATAATAGGTAGAAAAATTAAGTTTTTACTATAACACCCACACCCAATAAAAAGATTTATTTTTAAAAACCTTTTATTCTATTAGTCTGAGTATATTTATTACATATAAAAAATACAAATTGAAAAAAGAAGGCGATCCGCGCATTAGTTTTTAAGTTATTTACAAATTTTTTTTTAAAACTTATTGAAAAATGATTTTTTACGTTTCGTAAAGCTTAGTATAGATAATATGCAGTGAGTGCGCTATAACTTACCAATTATACCGAAATTATAACTTTGAATTTGTGAAAAATAAACAACTAATAATTTTTTACACACATAACATATGTAGAGGCATAAATAAAAGTGAATTTTTATATATATTTGTAACTAAACAAAATAAAATTGTTTAAATAAATAATCACATTTGAATTATTGGTTTAATCAACTAATCAACACATCGAAGTATGTTAAATAATTTTTTACAAGGATTAAATAGTTTGACTAAAAATTAAAATTTATATGGTTTAAATTAAGAGAGTGGATGTGGCAATATAACTTAAATTAAATATATATAACATCAGGTAAACACAACGTTATCAATTAACATGTAAAATATATATTATTTTTTTTATATAACACTTAGGACTTATATATAACTTAATTTTTTATTATGAGGACGATTAATTAGACAGTTAGTTGCCTTTAGAACTCTAAAGCGTGGTGCTGACTTTGATCATGACTATCAGTCCAGTTGCGCCCAAACTTGAACATGCTTATAGTCAAGATATGTCAGTTAAGCAAAATTTTTGAATAGTATGTGTGTTTGCGCACACTGTTACTACGATAGTAATCACGCAAAAATATGCTATTGACTGACTGAATGCAAATTTTTAGTGACAGATTAGCATTCAGAACACGTTGGCGACAAACTGATTGATGATCAAAATTTTGGTGAGCATGCCGGCATATTGATTGAGTGTCATGCAAAGATGCAGACTTGGAGTTTTAATCACAGTTATAGCATTTTCTCTCTTGACTGACAGACAAGTTTGCAAATCTGTTCAACGCTTAAAACGCTAATTTTCAATGACATTGATTTGAATTTCACTTTTTTATTACATAATATATGTATTATGACTAATTAGGTTAAATAGCTTTAAAAATGGTTGTAGATCAAATTTATCTAAGTTTTGTAAACGCGGTTTCATTTTTTTATTAGTAACTCAGTAAGTCTGTTAGTTATAACAGAAGATAAATTAATTTTTTTTTAACAAACTACACAGGAATATATTGAAAGTACATACAGATTAAATTAACAAAATATCGCTTTCTGCCAATGACAGTATTAGAACTTCTTACACTGCACTATGAATAGAATATTCCATATAATTTATACTGCTTGAAATATACTACTTTTTCTCCAAATTTATTCATTCCGCAACCACAATAAAGAAAGCATAGGAAGGTTTGCATTCTTTTAGGTTTCTTTGAAAGTAGTATTCATTTACATTGCATTTACAATTTATTTACAAAAATTATTAACCAAGGTTCAGCATCATAAAACTATATAGCAACAGTAATAAAATATTATAAATATAACAGTTCAATCTTAATGAGAGAAAATTTGTTTTTTTGGACATTAATTTTATTTTATAAGGCAGACTTCTGCTTCTGTCAAAATTATTAATTCATGTATTATAAAAAATTTATTTTATCGGTAATACTTGTCTTTATCGTTTTCAGACACGTATCAGTAAAGTGTTTATATAGTAATTATTATTCTCTTTAATCTATACAAACCTATGATATATGATAATAAACTGATATTACCTAAACCATACGCTTTTATAAAAATATTTAAATACCACAATAGTTTATTTAAAATATATATGAAATGTTTAAATTCACTTGAAATATATACATACTTATAAATAAATTAGCGTAGCAAATTTATATAAGTTAATAATATTTAAATACATAAAGTTTAATAGTAATAGTAATAAATGGGACCATTTTAAATATATTTAAGTATTTAAATTAAAGTACCAAATTATTGTATGTATATTTTAAATAATGTTTAAACTTTGCTTACTTTCTTAGTACACGAATCTCATTTTCAAGTGACTCCTCTTTGCCTTTTAATGCCTTTTTATCAATTATCTTTACAGCAAAGTGATCTCCAGGGCTTTCTTTACTTTCTGCTAATCGGACTTCAGAAAAAGCACCACTAAAAATTATCATTAATTGTATTTTATTTTATTTGTATTAATTGTATATATATAAATCTATTATTCTAAATCTATTTTTATATTAAAATTGGGCTCAACTACAAAGACAATAGAAAAATATCGCACTAGACAGGATTAAGTAAAAATTTCTAAGCAAACAAGCAACTGAAATAAATAGCCTAAATCATTTTTATATAGTATGTAGAAAATCTAATGTAGAAATTTAGAAATATTTTCTCTTCCGATTGTCCTTTTCGTTTTTTACACAAATCAATCTATGATCAATCGATCCAATACAACAGGGCTGTCCAGACTAAATAAGATCGCGGATAAATACAAATCATTGAATAGATTAGAGGGCCGCACTAATAAATAAATTCGTTCATAATTTTTCCGGAAAAAATAAAAATACGGCTATAATGCTAACTTTAGTTTTATTAATTCTTCATGAATTTATCTACCAATTATCTAAAATTATCTATTCATTTATTTTATCACTATCACCATTATTAAAATTAGTGGGTGCTGCACGATAAATATTTTATTATTAATGTAATGTTGAAATAATGTTGTACATAGACATATGTACTAAAGTCTTTGTCAATGAAGTACATTAGCTTGAAGAATAATAAATTATTTAAAACATTTAAATTCATTTATTTGGGATACCATAAATAATATAATGTGATTTTACTAAAATATAACAAAGAAAAATTTCCCTAAGTATTTCTAACATGTCACGGGCCGCACATATAATAGCTGTGGACCGCATGAGGCCCGTCGGCCATGCCTTGGACAGCCCAGATTAGCATTACAGTGAACTTTAATACTTAAATCTATTTAGGAAATTTGTATAAATCAAGTTGTATATTTTAATAAAAATAACAACTGAAAGGTTAGCTAATCCCATAAATATGCAAATGCTTTCTGCTATGCATACGATTCTACTGTTTTTATAGTTGAACCAAACTTTATAAATATATATTCTTTAATATATATATATATTCTGCATGAAGTTTCTTTTTAAAATATTATAAATATGTCCAAGAATTTAAAAATAATCATATTAAAAATCATTTTATTTCCCTCAATATTATCAATACATGAAAGAACCTCTCAGTCAGGAAGATCCTAATACTTTCAACACGATTCTCCAAGCAAAACGCAAAAATTAATAAAATAAATTGAAATATCTTATTAAACAAAATTATCCAGAATGTTTAATTTTACTTTAACATTTATTTAGTGTCCTTAATATAATTTTGGAATATTTCGAATTTGGATACAGTCTTTATCTCATTCTTCAAATTCGCTCTCGCTAACGTTTCAAGAGTGTTTAATTAAACAGATACGTTCAACAATTAATGATATCATGAATTGTTATATCACAAATTTGGCTACTTGTAACAAATAGTTTTTTACACCCTAATTTTACCCGCCTAATTTAATCTACACTGGAAGAACCTAATAATCTACATATCATATAGATCCTTACCATATATTTTACTGAATAACTTAAACGCTCAGTGATGGTATCATTAGAAAGATTTCTATATACGTTCGAGGTTTTAATATACCAGCGAATTTTAAATATTTCTCTTGGGAGTTTGGAGTTCGTAGAATGTAAATTTAACTGCATGACTATGTCACAATCATATAGCAAAGATGTCGTAAAGCTGATACAGATTTCGTCTTATGTGAAATCTTATGTAAATGAACTTTACTTTAATGAACTTTCATAGTATTTCGCCACTAAATACTGTCATTGCAAACTGTTAACACTTTTCGATTCTAATGAATTGGTTTTGTGTTTGAACTATTGAATTTGGTCTTCCATTTACGAAAATAGTTGACCAGCCCCTCGCTATATACCTTTAGAAAGTCAAAAATGTAAGTTATACTTTATGAAGTATAGATGATTTTGGATTTAACACGAATTTTAAAATAAGTGGCAAATATTAGTTGTACACTCTAATAACCAGATAAAGTTGTGCCACCACATCGGTGAAAATGAGTAGAATTATTTATTTTTAAATAAATTAAAAATGAGTAATGATATTTCTATTGTAAAATAACAGACAGAAATTAATCACCAATACGAACGGTGCTAAATTGTATATCTAAAAAATAGATTGTTTAAAAGTTTAGAACCAGAACTAATCAAAATCCCTAAACCATCCATTATGTTTAAGTAAAAACTAGAATTAAATAGAAAAATATATATTAGCTTATTTAGTTTCAGTATTGTACAGTTTAATACCTATTTATTTATTCCTCCTCAATGGTTAAAACTTCAAGTTAAACGTCCAAAACAGATTTTATAAATAAAAGTCAAAGTTTAGAATCTTACTAATAATTCCATAACTTAATTGTTTTAAAAAAATCACCAAAATCCGGAAAAATATTGTTTTATTAGAACTGATCCTATACATATTTATCTTTAAACCGAAAAGAAAAAAATTCCGTTTATAGTCTTGGATTTATAATATTTTTTCTGGATATTTTTTTGGGCAGGAATTTAAAAAAAGTAATAAAATATAGCGATAGAAATTAAGAAAGGATTTTTTTTAGAAGATAGCCCCTCCTGTAAAAATAAGCTAAAATAATTTACATAAAACAAATTTAAGCTTTTACAACATATCTCGGTTATAACAAACTTATATTATTTCTAAATTTATTGTATTTTGAAAGGACCACCGTATAATGTTAATTAATTTAAAATCTTAAAATGAATCCTTTTTTCAAGATATTCCCTTTTTGCCATGCACTTTCTACGTAAAGTCCCCTTATTTTTATAAATACAAGAATGCCGAAAACGAGACGTCTGAATATTTTATGTTTATATGGCAATAACGCTTTACATATATAATTTGATCTTTATAATTATTTTCAGAACTGATATTAGATCATTAAATACAATTGTATAATAGTAGGCGAATTGATCAGTTACTTTCCATTATTGTTACAAATAAAAATGAACAAAAACTACTTAAATTATTTCATGTTAATTTTTATTTAATTCAATATTTTAACTTTAATCGAAAGTCGTCTTCAGGAATATGCATCAAAAACCCAATGATATACATATGTCATATACATATGTTCGATGTCAATACTTGGTTCGAAACTTTAGGTACATACATATATTAATTATGCTTTTATACATTTTGTTCCTTTTATTTCTAGTATCATCAGTGTTTTGATAATAATTTCCACAGAAGAACAGATAAAGACATTTCCCTTCAAAATTCTTCAAACTTTATTTTTTTACTGCATTATAGAACGTTGATTCCGTTGGATGTTAGATCTAACTTACCCAAAAATGGTCGGACACAAACACAAAGAGCGTTTGCTTCATATTGCATTTCATCAGATCACGATCCAGACTAAAACAATGTAAAAATTCTACACCAAGAAAATAACCAACGCAAAGGTTATTTCTTGAAAATGCCCGCGATTTTGAAAGTCCCAACCAACACCAGGCTTAATTTTAAAACTGACATTGACAACTGCTCACAGATGTATAAAAGTATTATATATAAATAAACAGGTGCAGGATTACACATTGCAGTATAAAGTTTTTAAAAGCTTATTTTTCTGGATTAAAGTCAAGATTAAAATTTTTTAGGTTAAAGTCGAAATACTGAATTAAATAAAAATTAGTGTGAGATAATAAAATTGTTTTTGCTTATTTTTATTTGTAAGAATAGTTAAACGTAACTAGCTAATTCACCCAATACAACATAATAATAGTAATTTTGGTCATAAAGTGATAAATCATTAATTACACCATCTATGTAAATCGCAACCGCGAAGGGCTTAATTTAATTGAATTATATCTTTAAAACACAATTTATTGTACTTAATCCACAAACAATAAGGCATCGGTAGCTTTCGAAATTAATTTTAAATTTTTTATATAAATTTATGTTTTTTATTTCATTACTCGTTTATATTAAGTTCTAAATTACCTATCTAAGAATATTAAGCTTAATTATTTGATTTACATGAAATATATTATATAATTTAATATGTGTTTTACTTACGTTCCTAGTAGTCCGTGTAAATTGTACTTATCTTCAATTGAAATCTGTTTGTTAAATTCTTTGAATTCTTTTTTTACTTTTTTTCCTGAATCCTTTTTGCCAAACAGAGGCATTTTTGAATAACTGTTTATTTTTTTCAGGCTATATCTTTTATATCTTTTTTTTTAATATTATTGGATCTATAAATTAAACATCCCGTATAAAATAAAAATCAAACTATTATAAAATACGTCCGGTTTCTTGAGATTAAAAAAAAATTTTGTATTTTAGACTTTCTTATCTCTAAAACCTAGAAACGACTATTTAAATTCAAGTTTTTCTTATCAATACATCGGGTGAAACAGTATCAGGTAAATTCTTTCTTAGAATTGTTTCTTGCTTTCATAACAAGTAAACGATTGTTTCGTTACAGCATCTTAGAATGCAAACGATTCAGTTCTTTTCTTGAAGTTTGAAACAATGTCAATACTGAGGTATGGTTTTAAGATCATAAATATGTGTATCTACTCATGCAACTAGGCATATGTTAAAATTTTTTTTTTAAATATTACACATCTAATTAACAACCATCGTACTGAATTAAATACTAAAAAAAAAAAACAAATATGTTATTCAAAAATTAAATAACTATATAAGTATGTGAATGTCACTTTTATGCCACTTGGATGGAGATGCATTGTCATCATACAGAATCATCGTTCATTATGACGAATTAAAGCACATAGTTATTACTATTGATTACTATTAATATAACGTCTTTTATATGCAATATTTTTCAAAATAACTTTATTTATAATTTCTTTATTAAAAAGTTATTACTCTTATATATCATTATATTATTATAATACTCTGTATCTTTAATGCAATCGCACGTATCTCTTTTAAAAGAAAATAAAGCAAGAAAATCAATGAATGATGTCAAACTGGTTAAGAAACAAAAAGATGCGAAACTCTATCTCTTTAATTCAGTTGAATAAACGTCAAAATATTAATGTCAAGTATTTTTGTTACATATATGTATATACGCATGCATGAATTGATAAATACTTTGCTAACAAATAAACTTCATTTTTCTCTCCATTTAGAGTAACATTTTAGTAACAATATTATTTATAAAATATAACAAATATGTAAACTTTAGAGTAATTTTAATTCGAAAAATTATGTTGTATATATATAAATTAATAATATGGCTTCTTTATGAATATGTAAAGATTAGGACTTTTTCTTAGTTATCAATCTAATTTTAAAAACTTTTGTTTGCGAACACAGAATTAATTCCGACATAAAGAACTCTAGAACCTTTTTCGCATCAGGCCATCTTTAGTAATCTGCCACTGATCATTGATAATTAAAAAATTAAGATATATATAAGTACCATGTAAAATAATGATTTTTATTTTTAAATCAAATTGTAATATTACATTTACCTTTATTTATCGTTAATAATTATATTTAAAAACAATTAATGTAAGTTATATATATGCAAACTAAGTTTTACAGGATACATCAATTATGTGCCTAATACTATGTTCAGATGAAAAGTAGTTATGGAGGTTAAGTCTTAAACTAATTGTTTAAGTCGCAATTTTCCATCCACATCATTTCTTGGTCTAAGTACTTTTATGTACAAGATTCATTTAAATATTAGATTTTATTTTTATATAAATTGTGATTAGACTGTTGTGTTGTATGTTGAAAATAATTTTGGTGTAAACAT